CCGCCTACACCCCAAAAACATCTTCATGTAGAGAGATGGAGTTGATCTCGAAACAAGGAGATTTTGAACCATTGGAGTGGGAAATTTCGGCTAGAGTCATTTGTAATTGGTCCCCGAAATTTCCCTATGCATTCTGAGGACACACCCTCCTAGATAAACTATGAAGACTTGTGCGCGATAGCAGCACGACAGTTACAGTTCCGATTGCATTTTGTAGTCATCGCTACAGTAGTAGTAGTAGCTCATATCTGAGAGTTAGTATGCTCCAGTTTCTTTTGGACACAGTTCCAATTTTATTATCGACCTATTAAGGCGATATTTCGGGTTTTTCGCGACCTTTAATTTTCATATAGTCTTGGATGACTATTTAATTTCCATTTTAGTCTTTCGTGACTAAATTATTTTCTGAAATCCCAAGTCTTGTGACATTTTTAATTATTTTATTCATTTAAATAAAGAATTTAATCCAACGTCTTAAATTCAGTGCGGCATTACTTTTAACCACATAACAAATACTTTACGACTGAAAGCAGAGCAGTGAATATAAGTCGAATGTTGTAGTTACACTTTTCTACTTGTTTTGTTAAAATATAGACTATATTGAGTCACTTTAAAGTTATTCAAAATTCTTTTCATTTTACTCCAAGTGAACCTTTCCAACCTTTGATTCCAAACCTTTTTGGGGTTTAGAAAATTGAAGTAAAAGGGGACCTTTGTAATGGGTTTTGTGTTTGAATTCTATTCCTTAAATTCGAGACGATCTTTGAATTTAATGTTGTTTCTTTGGTTCAATATATTGAATTTTAATTTAATAAAGTTGTGTCAAGTAACCTATTCTTGACGTAACATACCTATTGTATTTTTTCCAAAAAAAAAAAAACAATTGTATTGTTTGTCAGAAAACAAATTGAAAAAATGCCGAGTAACCATTTCAATGCATTTTTGTGGAAAAATGCCCGAGTACTTATTTATGGATAATTTTTTCTGGGAAATTGAAAAAACTGCAGAAATAAGAAAAAGCGCCAAGTTCATGAAGTTGAACTTGTGATTTTGAAAAACGACAGAACTTTTCATAACATCTAGAAACAATTTCAGCTATTTTCTACAGTCGGCTGGTACTGTTATAAATTTTATAAAATGAAACTCATCAATGCCAACTCAATATTGTCTATTCCTGTGAGTTACGGAGTGGGTACAACCATGAAAAGTGTGGTTATCTACGCAGTCAATGAAAAAGTGTCAATACGAGTGTTTCTTTAAAAAAAATTGTTCAGAAAATTCTCAGGACCAATGTACTTGGCGCGGTTTTTTATCTTAATGCGGATCCTTATTTGGGAGTCTATTGTTTGATATTTGAGATCTACTTTGGGACTCAGAAATTGCTTTGAAGCATACTACACCTTGCTAGGTGTTCAAATCTTTAGATATTCTATTGTGAGATTGCGTTGAATGGAATTGCCGGATAGTTCAAGTTAATACCTTAAGCTTATTCTTTTCCATTTTCAAATATTTTCATTTTCATGAATATGAATTAAATTGATTAAGGTAGTGCTCGCCAGGTAGTTATCGGCACACGCGACATAAAAGCATCGAGAAGGTTCATTCGACCATGGTGTCAACATAAAGCGACAACTCTCCGCAATGAGTTTTTCAAAAAACCGCGCCAAGTACGTTGGTCCTGAGAATTTTCTGAACAATTTTTTTGTAAAGAAACACTCGTGTGGACACTTTTTCATTGGCTTTGTGTGGATAACCACACTTTTTATGGTCGTACCCACTCCGTAACTCACAGGAATAGACAATATTGAGTTGGCATTGATGAGTTCCAACTTATAAAATTTGCAACAGTACAAGCCGACTGTACAAAAAAGCTGAAATTGTTTCTAGATGTTATGAAAAGTTCTATGGTTTTTCATAATCACAAGTTCAGCTGCAAGAACTTGGCGTTGTTCCTTACTTCTGCACTTTTTTCAATTTCCCAGAAACAATTATCCATAAATAAGTACTCGGGCATTTTTCCACAACAACGCATTGAAATGGTTACTTGGCATTTTCTCAATTTTTTTTTCTGACAAACAATACACTTTTTTTTGAAAATTATTTTTGCTGAGAAACAATCCAATTGTTTTTTTTTTTTTAATACAATGCTTACAAAGGCGCACTTGGCCGGTTTTTTCAGAAAAGAATTTTTTTTTGGTTTTTGGGGGATTTCAATAATTTTTTCAAACCGAGTGACTCACGTCAGAAGGAAAGACTGCAGATAATATGCAACATTATTTGGATTTACTTTGCTTTAAGAACAAAATATAAATATCCTTGGAGTTCCTTGGCCATTGCCTTTTGGCAACGGTTAAATTATCGACATTTATACACTCGCTTGTTTACCTTTCAACATATCGAGTACATTCAGTAGCGAAGTGGTGAACCGGATTAAATCGGTTTTGACTTTTAGCCAGTTTTTCATGAATATCTCGGAATCTAAGAAAGGCAGAAAATTTTTTCTCATGACCTTATTTACAACCCTTAATGGGCTCTACAAAAAAGTGAAAAATGTTTCTATCTCTTTTAGATTCTGAGATATTTGTCAAAAACTGACCAGTAGTCAAAATCTACTTAACGCGGATTACCGCTTCGCTACTGAATTCAATTTTTTTTCGTATTCTCACATACCTCCTACGCTCCATATCTCTTGAACAAATCACCGAAATGTACATAATTCTCTCATAAATTATTTTTCAAACTGTCGTCACTCATGCATTCCCATTCAGAAAACACGCAGAGAAAAAAAGTGGATTAGCTTTAGAAACTCGTTTCTAGATGTTAAAAACTCCTGTTCTTAAGCTTTATCCTTGGTGGGATCATTAAAGTTAACGAATTTGGGGATTGTTTTTAAGAACCGATATTTTTTAAAACCAATGCTAAATTTTTCTTACTTTTAGAAAATTTTGAAATTGAACTATAAAATTGCCGCCGAGATATTTAAACGGCGTAAGCGCCCCGTACATAGGGAGGGAAGCCCAAATATCGGGAATTTCAGATGTTGTTCGGTTTTCCACCGAATAATTCGCTCCTCACACATACGCACACTCACGCGCACTCACTTCGCTCGCATGCGTGCATGGCCTACGCACAGTTGACCTACGTACTCGCCTCAGATGACCAGTGGCCTCTCAACTCTGACACTTGAGGCGCCATTTGATGGACAGGTGTCCAGCGAATGCCTCCATTTTAATTGGGTCACGCTCACCTCTGGATTTTCGTTACCTCCCACCTCGTGGTCTATAAATCTCTCTGATTTGGTTCTCGGCCATCATATTCTATACATCGTGTCCTGCGAATATATTGTTTGTCCCGCATACAATTGGTCTACGAATTAAGTTCTGCGAGTTATTCGATAATATTGAGACATGCGCATTTGTTTAGACATCTCGATTATTATAATTAAAGCATCACGTGTAAATATTTGACTTTTAGATAATTGAATTGACTGTGTTGACCAACGTGCACGTGTGGTGATTTGTGGACCCTCTCACGCTCCCGTAAAAATCCATTTACATCTCGCACATCGCTCGCTTACTCCACAGATCTCAGACCCGGCATCGAACATTTTGGTCCTTCGAGTCGGATCTGTGGAGTATTTTTCGGTTTATTCGAGTTTTTGAGTGTTTTCCGAGAGTGATAAACGGACGGCGTCTTCTCAGTGGTGCTCAACGTCTCAACCAGCGGGTAGACTTTTTTGAATTCGTCCAGCGCAAATGGTGCTCAGCGCTCGGCTCGTGGAACTTCGCATCTGACCAGCTCAAGAGGTGCTCAACTTGTTTCTTCCGCAGCGCTTCAGGAAACTATTGTACCGGCACGAGGCGGGAGAATTCGAATTGACCAGCTCTCTCTAAGGGAAGTATCGATTATTTCTCCTTACTTTTCGACATTCTCATTGGATTTCTCGTGCCTGCAATCATCTGGACCTGCGAATCGACGAATTATTCTCGTGATTTTTGGAATTATTTTTCGAAAATTAATGATTCTTGGATGATAGTTTTTGGGAACAATTGGACCTGCCCTTCCAGTTTCCAGTTTATGTTGTAACGAGATTTTCTCGTTACGGGTTGAAATCCCCTTAAAAAGATACGTGAACTCTAAAATTGAGACATGAGGCGACATCTAGAGGCGGCTGAAGAAAGCCGCGACTAGATGAACTGAGCCACAAACCGATGAAAGACCTAAGGCATAGCGGTTATGGGTGAAACCGGGACCCCTGGAGGTCTGGAGGGCGTTACTAGACTATCGCCATATTAGAATTCGCCCAGCATGTGCTAGGGGAAAAGGGGCCGACGTATAGGCTATCTAACTGGGCGATTCTATAGGCTATGTCGGAGTAGACTAGGGACCAACGGCCAGGTGAAAGGACTGGTGCCTCCGGGATCCCGTCGGGTTGATTGGTGGGGATGGGGTAACGGAATGAACTATCGTCGCTGAGATACCCAGACTAGGGGGACAAGGCCCTAGTAAGATTCCGAGTTAGTCGAACGCGAGCGCTTGAACCGAGAGGTTGAAATAATCTCTCGGTGTGCTGGATGGTGGAATGGCTGAAGAAGCCAGGATAAGGAGTTTCGGACTCCACGTCGCCTCCGTGAATAACCGTGGGCGGCGAGCGTAAAGGGATGCTCCTGCATCCCCCACTAGTAAAAAGGAGTTATTTCGGCACACGAAGTGACGACTTTGTTTCCGGCGTTATCCGGCTCAGCGAAAGAAACGCCGAGCGTATGGGCCCGTGGGTCTGGAGTAGAGATCGTCCTCCTGTCGACCCAACTATGTGCCGACATTCGAGTACCCGGAGACGGTGACAAGCGATAACTGAAGCNCATGGGCCCGTGGGTCTGGAGTAGAGATCGTCCTCCTGTCGACCCGACCATGTGCCGACATTCGAGTACCCGGAGACGGTGACGTGCGATGACCGAAGCGGTAACTGGTGGCCGAGAGTGTGGGTGGTCGTGAAGTGGGTAACAATGTTCCACTTTGGTCGGATCAGCCTCTCGGCGTCCCATGCTCTGAGGAGTCCCGGCTGATTCGCATTTGACTCTGAAAAGTCCCCCGAGTTGAAATACTTGGGAGGAGAATGAACACTGGCAGAATCGAAAGACTCTCCAGAAGGTCATGAATTTAATTCATTATGGGAAGTTATGCCGTAAGGTATAATACACGGCTTGCAAAGGCTCGTGAGGATGTGGTGGTAATACTCCTGGTGGACCTCGCCCACTCTACCGTATCACGCTGATGTTAGCTGGGCAACCCATTGTCCAGCCAAAAAGTCCTCTGAGTGGACGAGTTTGCCTCAGAGGCCAGTTTTCGTCGAACCTCCCGTGAAGGTTCGGCTGGCGCCCGATTATTGAGTGATAGAGAAGGTTTACAAAGTAGTTTGGATTTTTCCTGGGTGAACAACCCGGGAAAATATCCTGACAATGTTGGGCTGCTTCTTCTAAAGGGAAAAAATTATTATAATTTTCAATCCGGACCAGCGTAATCGGGTTTTTCGTTGTTCTGACCTGCTCGCCTCTTGAAAGACTGGACCTGAGTCGGGGATTTATTTCCTTTTTTTTTAATTTAGTTTTTCTGAATTAGTTCCAAAATTTCGTTATTTTTGAGACCTTCGTTTTTTTGGGTCATCGGACTGGCGGTTCGAGTTCCCATTGATCTTGAGCGGTTTTTCCTGATGGAAAAATTTTTTTTTTGAATCTGGACCTGCGTTATTGGGGGTTATTTTTCATAGCTCGTCGTTTGTTCTTTTTCCGACGTACAGTTCTCTCAATGAGCATGTCGTTTCTCGGTGGCATACTTGCCCTCCAGAGGACTCGCGCTAAATTCATTGAGAATTTAAGTGTTGATCTTTTGAAGAATGATCCCTAGAGGCAACGCGTCATTGCCCTTCGTGAAAAGCGAACTCTACTCGAGAGTTATTTCAGCAAATTAGAGATCACTCACGAAGAGATGCTGACAAACCCGTCAGGTTTTGAGGTTAAGGACCTGCTCGAGTCCGACTACATTAAGTTCAGGGTCTTTGATCACGCTCTGTCTCAATTTGCGTCAGCCAAAGTTCTTCTCTCTCTGCTCTTAGAGAAGTGCAGTCCAGATGATTTATTGGAGACTGCGACAGGTAAATTAAGGATGCACGATAGGCCTGCGGATGTACCATCATCAACTGCAAGCGCTCACTCTGAAGATATCGTTCAGCTCGATCAGTCTATAGCAACTGATAATTCTTCAGCGGACAGTGGTCACCCAGTAAGCCCTGCTCTCAAAATACAGTCCACTTCTAGGACATCACAAGGGGCAAAGAAGGTGCAATACCGCTGTTCCTTCTGCCAGGGCGATCATTACGTCGCCTCGTGTGATACGTTCAGGGATCTGCCGTCCGTCGCTAGGAAGGAAGTCGTTGACCGTCTCTACCTTTGCTTCAACTGTTTGGGGAAGCACAGTATTAGGGTGTTCCAAACCACCCATAGATGCAATCACTGTCAGGAGAGGCATCATACCCTGTTGCATCTCGATCGCTCTCGTCGCCGAACTTAACGTGGCTCTGCGTCCCAGAAAGCTCCTCTCACCGATTCGGGAAGTGAGCGTCAAAAGACCTCTGCTCCATTGACCAGCGTACCTGTCATGATTTATACTCATACAGGTGGCAGCGTTAAGGCTTCTGAATCGCCCAATGTTGAAGCCTCCGTTTCGGCAGAAGTCAAAGCCAATAAGTCGTCCAGCGTTCAGATCGCCAGCTCGTTCAGCGTTCAGACTCTTGAGCCGTCCAGCGTTCAGGTCTCCGAAGAGACCAATGTTAAGGTCTCTACTTCGGACACTCAGGCGTCAAAATCGATCAGCGTTCAGGCGTCCGTCTCAACTGAAGCTCACGCCTCTACATCGACCAGCTCTCATGCCTCTCGATCAAGCAGTGTTCCGGTCTCCGACCCGAATATCGAGGAGACCGAGGACTCAATCAAGGATTGGAGCCTCATGGGAATTTCATCATCGTCTACTAGTAGATCGACCAGCTCAAATATTTGTCGTGTTGCCCTGCGAATAGATGTTACCTACACATTCGAGTGCTCTTCGTCTTCGGTTCAGTCGGTAACCGCTTGTTGATGTTGACGAGATGAACTTGGCACGTGTTGCGCAAGCACCATGAGGGGTGAGGGTCTCCGAAGCACTTCAAGTTGGCCCGTCTGACGTCTCTTCAGGTACATCGATCTCACTCGGCGCTCAGGGCTTGGCCTCCCTGAAGCCTCATCTCAGCAACTCTTGTCGCCCCTCGCATCAGCTGGAGTAACAACATTCTGACTTCAGATGGAAGCGTCTTCTTTTTGACCTGCGCACACTGGACATGCAAGCACTGCCTCCAGACAAGGTCATCGTATTTCTGTCAAAACTGTATGTCAGCACTGACTTGGTGACGGCGGGGAGGATAAATGGATCGCTCATTCTTCCCTCTCATTTTATTTTGATGTTCAATATTCTGTTTAGATATTGAATGAATCACTCGGCTGCTCAATAATCGGTTAGCTCTACGAATTCGTCATTCCTCGAACGAGATGTCGGACCTTGATGAGGATTTACGCCCCTCATTATAGCACCGAACTCAGTTTGGGTGTAAGTCTTTTGGGGATCAATGGAATTTACGCCTCCATGACTCCTGACTGTACTTACATTGAGATCATCGCATCGAGAATTTCCTCAGTATACGTCGATAGACCTTCGCCACTCAACTCTTCAATTGAACTCCGTGAAGTCAGTTCTTAGGTGAACTTTCACAAGACCAGCGCATAGAAATATAAGCCAGAGACAAGCCACATGTCAAGGGGAAACCATGGTCCAGCGATGATCAGCGTATACGACCCTATTGTGTGACCCGAGGGTCAGCTCAATAGTTAGATGTTCGTATTGGGAAGGTAACGGATGGTTCTGCATTGGATCAACTCTACGTCAAGAATATTTTTTTGAACTTGCATAGGCTATTGACAAGTAGTCAAACAGCAGCTCAATTGAGATCAAACTCCCGAGAAAGTTTCATTTCTAGCTGGGATTGATCTTCGATATTCCCAGATCTTATTCGTCCGGAGTGATATTTTGTTCAAATCACTAAACTTCGATTTCTTGAATTGCCCTGAGTAATATTTGATTCTTTTGTTCTAGTTAGTTCCGCTAGATTATCATCGATTATCATGATTTGCTCAGAGTTGGAACTGCGTTGATAAGGCATACGAGACGTCATCGCTAATCTCCTGAACTTTTTTAATGCTCAATGTGCTCATTATACCAGAAACATTGATGAGGCATCATGAACCTTGTCCTCAAATCGGGTATCAACCGGTACCTTCAATGGACCATATTGGAGTATTACGAATCCGTCGTATTCTGCCCAGCAAAGAAACTTCTGTCCAGCGAAGAATCTCTGTCCCGCGAAGGAATTTCCGCTCATTGACTCACTCTGAACTTGGGCCTACCAACTTCCAAGGAATTCGCGACTCCGATGGATTTGGGAGGATTCATATTTGGCATACTGCAGCTCAGTTCACGGAATAGAAGGTCCGATGGTACAATCGACCGTGGCTTATGAAAGGTTCATCGTTTTGGTCAGCTGGAAAGATCTCTTCACGGAACGGAAGACCTTGAAGAGAAACCTTATGTCGTGCTCCACGTGAAAGCCTAGCGCCCAAAGATCTGGGATTTAGTTCATCGCTATTCTTCACTCAACAAACTGCCTCGAATTACGGCCATCTGCCAGCGCGTCATTGCTCGTCTCAGAAGAATTCCTGGATCATCGTCAGTAACAGCTCTAAACCGTGGTGACATCGAGCAGGCCCGACTGCTCTCGGTCAAGCTCACTCAGTCTGCGCACTTCTCAGCTGAGCTTACGACCTTGTCCAGAGGACAACGTCTTAGTTCATCTCACTCACTCACTCGTTTGACAGCGTTTTGGATCACCAGGGAGTTCACTCGCGCAAACCGGAGCCGTGCTCAACTCATAAAGGCTCTAATCGTTCTCTGAGAACGTTGAGGAAGTCAGCGCCTCACCTCAGGGCAATTCCAGATCGGTGAAGCTCTGATAGCTCTTACTGAATCTTCTCTGGAACGTTTGAACGTCTCCCGATTATCTCGATGACAGCTCATCCAGCAGAGGGTTCAGTGCTATTGAAGACGGTGGTCCACTAGCTCCCTGCAACATCTCCAGTCCATCGCCAAGTGGCACCACCCAACGCACAACGTGAAATCTCTAAACTGGCTCCACCACCCATCTCACGACATCAGAATTGGTTCCATATTCCTTCTTAACGACGAGAGATTCTCACCAACGAAGTGGCCTTTCGCTCGAGTCATCGCTCTCCACCCTGGTAGAGATGGACTCGCCAGGGTGGTCACCATTAAGACGTCCAGTTCTACGCTTCAGAGGCCCATCTCCAAGCTTGCTCTACTGCCAGTCTCGACCAGCGATTCGTAAGATCATCTTAACCAGCGGCACCTAAGATCACCTCGACCAGCGATAACTAGGATCATTTCACGTGATAACAGCTCTACATCATCGAGTTCATCGTAGTCCATGTTCGGATTGGGTCATGGTGAGGATTTACGACCCTCTCTGTGGCAACTAGTCCGTAGTGGACGTGAGTCTGCCAAGGTGTGACGGAATTTACGCCTCCTGCGTCCTCGGCTGTACTCACACCTGACCGTCACTGGTGAACTACGATGGTGATATTGATCTTCGAGAAATCTTTGTCCTGAGCTCAATTAATCTCTTTTTGTTTCAGACCGACTCAGCGACGTCAGCAGCTGCTGACGGCGGGGGAGAATGTTCGGTTTCCCACCGAATAATTCGCTCCTCACACATACGCACACTGACGCACACTCACTTCGCTCGCATGCGTGCATGGCCTATGCACAGTTGACCGACGTACTCGCCTCAGATGACCAGTGGCCTCTCACCTCTGACACTTGAGGCGCCACTTGATGGAGAGGTGTCCAGCGAATGCCCCCATTTAAATTGGGTCACGCTCACCTCTGGATTTTCGTTACCTGCCACCTTGTGGTCTATAAATCTCTCTGATTCGATTCTCGGCCATCGTATTCTATACATCGTGTTCTGCGAATATATTGTTTGTCCCGCGTACAATTGCTCTGCGAATTAAGTTCTGCGAGTTATTCGATAATATTGAGACCCGCGCATTTGTTTAGTGATCTCGATTATTATAATTAAATCATCACGTGTAAATATTTAACTTTTAGATAATTGAATTGACTCACACTCACACTCACGCTCCCGTAAAAATCCATTTACATCTCGCACATCGCTCGCTTACTACACAGATCTCGGACCCGGCATCGAACAGATGTGTAAAGGAAGGATTTTGTAAAGAGAGGGAGCGGCGGAGGTTGTCAATTGAGAATTCACAACCAAAGGAATTGAGTCCTTGAGTTTTCCGAAAATATCTCCAAAACTAAGGGAGATAGCGAATTTGCACTGCAAAATTGGGAAAAAATGTTATTGAAAAATTAGGGGGAGGGCGTGTGTTATACATCGAGAATTCAATACAGCTTGCCTCCCCATTCCCGCCCTATTTTTTGAATAAAATTTCGCTATCTTAATGAGTTGCCAAGATATTTTTGAAAAAATGACCGACTTAATTTTTTTGGCTGTGAATTCTGAATACACAACCCCTCTTTCCCCTCCCCCTAAATTTTGGTAAACTAGGCAAGACGCGCGTTTCTCGCGCGCTATTTAGGCTGCATGGTTCTGATACTGAATTCGACACTAAAGAATTGATGCAAATATTTGTATCTGTTCTTCAATCTCGAATTGTTGAGTCAAATTCTTGATTGCATCGACTGATCGAACTCACTTGACGACTGCACCAATAAGAAACTTCCAATAAGAAACTACAAAATTGCAATGATGCCAGCGAATGGAACCCATGTAATATCTATCTACACAGAAAATAATTCTTGATTCAAATCGAATATTAAGCTCCTAATCGAACCGATTAAGATTTAATTAAATCAAGAATCATACCAAGCAGATTTCATTAATTTGCATTGAGTATATCCAAACAAGTCATAGTGATTTTTGTTTCAATAGAAATATCAATTTTCGCCTAAAAATTGATAAGTCTGCGAAAAATGACTGAAATAAAGTGGTTAATCTCTCAATTTGGAGCTTATTCAATGAGCTTCATATCGGACATAGAGTTTCTACGAGTTATTCTACGAGAAAGACACCAGCTCAGGAGGAAACACTGAAATAACAACTTTCCAATTTGTAACTTGCAAAACCCGACACCTACACCATATACCATACAACCCGCATCGTCACAATTGGAAGAACGAAAAATGCCCTCTAAGGATGACCTATTGATTTCTCCACTGATTCGACTCGAAACGCTATAAAAATCCATCGCAATTTGAATTTTCGAATAACCCATGAAGGAATAAATGTTTGCCAAAAAATCTCATGAGTCTGCAAAAAATGAGCTTCACAACTGATATGTGATTTCTACTGATAATCAAGTCAGAAAATAACAATTCAGGACAAAACGATGAGAAAATGTGAAATTTTCAATTTGTGACATGAGAAATTCAAAACATAATTACCTATAACAATGGATCAAGTGGACGGAATGAAGAAAACTCACACGTAATTTTGAAGATCTCATTGAGATCTTCGAATTGGTGTGAAATAAATCTACATTGGCCAAATACAAAGGTCCAGAAATGAATGAAAAGGTCGAATTTTGGGGTGTGATATAAGCTTCAAAACAGCAACAATCTTCAATAACTTCATGAAAATTCAATCAAATCGTATTCTATACAGGGTGTTTCAGAAGTACATGTACATCTGAACACCCTAGGATCAGGGGGTGATTCTGAGCAGAAAAGTCCTCTTGCACTTTTTGATCAGACTCACCCCTAAAAAGTTATTGGCAATTAAGGGTGGGCCAATGGGGAGTGATTTTTAAGCGGGCGCACATCCATGTGATATGCAGCATATGTGTGTGTGCCCGCCCCACCATTCTAC